TCAATCAACATTTTTTAATGGGGGATTTTAGGCCAATTACACTCAAGATTATTATCAATAATAAAACTTATTCCTGCCATTTTCCCATAATATTATGGTTTATTGCTTTGGGCTTCCTTTGTACTTCTGTTAGATTTTCTGCTTTGACATATTTCAGCATGCTATCATTTTCTTTCAGGCTGTAACACCAACTGTATAGCTGGACCCAATGACCCAGACCCGGTGACCCAGGCCTTGCCAGACGCCCTGTTCCAGGGGCTCATGGGCCTAGCACCCATCATGTACACAGGCCCAAGGACTTGGACCAGGTGACCTGGGTCACACTTAACCCTAACCCCTAGAGTTCATGGACCCAACATTTACCATACAGGAAGGCCCAAGGGCATGGGACAGCTGCCCTGAACCCTATCAGACCCCCAAACCTGGGGCTTATGGACCCAGCACCCACCACACAGGCAGGCCCATTGATCCCGTCAAGGCACTGTGTCTAACTGGACCCCTGCTCCAGGGCTCACAGACCCAAGACCCACCGTGCAGGTGGGCATAAAGACCTGGGCCAGGTGACCAAGACTACAACAGACCTCCTAGTCCTAGAGGCTAATGGACTTTATACCCACTGCACAGCCAGGCTTGAGGACTCCAGCCAGGCAACCTGGGCATGCAAGATACCAGCTCCCAGGGTCACAGTCCCTGCCCCACTGCCCTTAGATTGGCATGACCAGTGGGTGCTTCAGCCTGGCTCAGTCCAGCCTGCCCCCAGTTTCAGCTACTGTTTGTTGGTGCTGCAGCAAAACTTGGCCTAGCCAGATCTCTGTCCCAGCCGCCGTGTGAACTGCTTGGTGAAGGCCAGGCCCTGTACCTCCTGCAAACCATTCTGGTCTTCAGTTCTGTCAGTGGATGTTACAAACTGGCCCAGTCTGGCTCACACTTCTGACCTGACCCAAATGGTATGCTACTGGTAGTGCAGCTTGGCCTGGATTGGACTGCTGCTTGTCTTGGTTCTTGCACTCAATTACAGTGACTCTGTCCTGAGAAAGGAGTTCCCTGAGCTCCTCTATCAGGCACCTCCCTGTTGCAGGCCTTGCTTACACTGGTGGATCCTTGGCCCAGGTGGATTTGTCCACCTCTTGTTCAAACAGGAGCAGTGTCTTTGTCCAATCAGTCCAAACTAAATCTGGTTCTTATTGTTGGGTGTTACCTGGTACACACCCAACACAGCCCTCATGTGGTTTAGTGGGAAAGGAGACCTAGCCCAGCCTGCTCTACACCCACTCCAGCTCTTACGAACACTAGTGGATGCTGAAGTTTAATCCAGTCTGGTGCTACTCTGACACCATTCCCACCTATGAATAGGGAGGCTGCAGCCATGTATAGTCTAGCCCACTACCTTCATTTCTGATCTCATTCTCACCAATGGCAATTGCAACCCAGGTAGGGTGTCCCCTTAGTGCCCCAACCAGACCTGCTCCCAGCCATAGATCTTATGGGTGCCAACAGAAATTGTTGTTCCACAAGGGTGAGCTAACATACTTCCCCACGGATTCTGACCCCACACCTAATTCACTCATGTACTGGTTAGTGTCATGAACCAGGCTCGCATTACCCATTTTCTGTTCCAACTCTCACTGGTGGATTCCATGACTAACCCTGCAAGTACAGCGGCTTTGTCCATGAAAGACCCTTGGAAGTTGTTCATCACTGGAAATAAACCCTCAGGTCCCTGCTTGCACCCACCTGTGCCATCCCCAATACCAAATGTAAGTCCACATCACCAAGTCCAGAGCTCACTGCAGGGCAGGGCAGGCCCGACCTCCATTCCTTCAGGATATCATGCTGCCTGGCTGTCTATACCTGTCGTTCCAAGAGGCTCCAAAGCTATGAAGGGCCAGAAGTCAGCTGAGCCTCCTCTTCTCCAGGGAGTCATAATGCACAGCTGTCCATACCTGTGCTGGTCAAATCTGAGTATCCGTATGATTTTATGATCACTATTTTGAAATCGTTTTCTGGCATTTTATCCCCATTTTTGTTATCATGACATAATATTGAAATGTTGCTGTACTTCTTTGTAGGAGCCATATTTTCTTCCGTGTTCATATTTTATATATTTCTACATTTAATGTTTGGCATTTGTAAAAACACATGCTTTCACTTCTGCTAAGAACTTGTAGTTTTGGAATGAGGCTCTGCGAATTGTTGATTGATTGCTGCTTTAGCTAATACCCAGAATTACATCCTGGGTGGAACCAAAAAGCTCAGGGAAGTGTTGTGGCCGTAATAGGGAGTCCACAGTGGCACCCAAGCCATGGGAGGTGTCTGTTATCCCTAGAGGAAAGGGAAATTGTTGAATTGGCTGGTATGATCACAGCCCCACCCCTTCTCCATTAAGAAACACTGACTGTGTTGGGACTCCCTATGGTGGATATATGACCTACACTTGCTGTTACAAAAGTGATGCAAATTGTATGTGCACTATTCTGTGTGAGCAATTGACCTTCTGTGACATGCCACCCCAGAAATTCAGGGAACTCTGAGCTTCTAATTGTGCACAGAGCCCATACCCCATTACATTATCGCAGAATTCTCACTATCATAGTGTGTGAGGCTCACATAGTCACGGGGAGCAGGGCTTCCAATCAGAGCTCCACAATCCTTTCTTTCCACATGGAGAGCCATGAAGTTAGCCAGCTGCCTGCATGCCTGATGGATTGGTCAGTGTTCTTTGCCTTGTAATATCCAGACTTCTTGACAGAGGAAGGTGATGGAAGCACTTCACTAGCCTGAGTGAGTGGAGGCCTTGAGATTCGGCCTCAGGCATTATATCACAGGCTTCACTCCTGCTTCACTTTCAATCAAACTCCCTGATTATTGGGGCTTGGAAAAAAATTATGAAACATGTGTTCTGCCATAAATGCAGAATACCTTGATGAAGTTCCAGGCAACAGGATTTAGGCCGCACCAGTCATGGCTGCTGTGGTCATTTGAGGAGTAAAACTGTAGATTGAAATCCTCTGCTTCTCTTTCTGTCTCTATGTATTTCTGATCCTAACATGTACAATGTAACTCTGAAACAAATTCTTTTCAACATTAGTGAGAATCTTTCCTAAGAGCTATTCATATTGCTGCTGGAATGGGAGTTGATCCAAGGTAGCCTTGGGTCCAGGGTTTAGAGAATGTTTCTGTTGCCTACCTCTGTCCAGAGTCAAGTCTATCTGCCTGGTTTAGGGCATATTTGCTCCCACGTTAAACTTCATGCTATGGAGTACCTATAAAACAACATATGACTTAGTTAAAATGCCACTTAGGAATAAAGGACACGTCTGCTTTGGACGTCCCTTGTTTCATTGCCCTACAAAGTTTATTTGAAGTCTAAAACCTGAAATGGAGATAAGAATCATATTGAACTGTGACCAACTGAGAGTTTTTTCTGATAACGTGGTGTTTTATAGGGTGGGTAACAGTAGTAACGACAATGAGGAAACAAGTGTGTCATAATCACTTGCATTCTGGCTGCGAACTCTCAACTTATTCTGTGTTTCTTTCTCTCTGCTTCTATACTGCTATTCTCTGCTTCAAAAATACCTTCTTGACATGAGCAACGAGATTGATTCTTAGGATCAACAGTGGTTAACATGAAGAACGCACTTTAGGATCTATCTTACCAAATGTTAATGATTTTTTGGAAAAAATTCCTGAACATAATATCTGCTTATTTATTTTTTTCAATTTTTAAATTTTTATTGGAAAGTCAAATTTTACAGAGCTATAGAGATACATAGAGGAATATCGTCCATCTACTGGTTGACTCCCCAAGTGGCTGGAACCACTAGAGCTGAGCCCATCCAAAGCCCAGAGCCAGGAATCAGAAGCTTCCTTTGGATTTCCCACATGCCTGCAGGGTCCCAATGCTTTAGGGCATTTTCTATAGGTTTACAAGCAGGAAGCTAGATGAGAACTGGAGCAACTGGGGCCCAAATAGTTCCCCACATGGGATCTGGGCATTTTCAAGGCAAGGATTTACCACTAGGTTACTGTGCCAGGCCCACAATTTTATTTCTCTTTCTTCCTAGGTACATTCTCTGTATTTTAGTTTTTAATTCGTCTCCTGCAGAGCAATATAGTGATACCTCATCAAAGCTTTTCCCGTGTATGGGAGGGGGATGTGACATGGAGACATCAGCAGCAGAATGCGAAGATACTGACCAGGGAATGTGTAGACCTTTCAGATGGAAATACATGCCACCCTAGCCAAAAAGCTCACCTCAAGTTCCTCTTGTAGGTTTGCTTTCTTTATGGTTTCCCTAATAATTTGAACCAAATAAGAAATGGAAGAAAAGGAACAGCTCGTTCTTTTAGGCTCTAAAGACAATACACCAAATTGTGCAGTGTGTTTTTGTCCACAAAAATATTCTGTTTCTCCAAGTGGTTCTAGCAGAAGTTGAGACATTCATGTATGAGTAGGTCAAAGACAGGATTAGGTCAAGAGCATTAGCAATGTGTGTATACTCTTCCTCTATGGATTCTGGAGTTTCTATGCTCTTTTCTCAGTATGTCACTGGCTTGCTTAACTCCTATGAAAGTAAGTTGTGTGATTACCTGTTGAAATTTGTATCTATTGGGATACAATAACTGCAGCCTTCTTGTGGAATCTCATCAGTTTTAATTTGAGGTCATTGTTTCAGACACTGCAAAATTAGAAGAGATCTCTTCATGATAAATAACAGCAAAAGATCAAGAGAATGAATGCCAGCTGTTGCTGTGGTTTAATGAAGCCAATATTTGTTTCTTCAATATTTTGTTAATTGTTTACAAAAAGAGACATTTGAAAGAAAAATAATAGATGCAATGGTTTCATTTTTGTTAGTGGTAAAAATCTCTTTCATATATAATAATGAATTGCTTCCAAGTTTTTTGCTTAAATGTTAAATATCGCTTTAAATTCACTCCTCCCCTCCGTTGCAGACTTTGGACAGGCAGCAGTGTGTTCACTTCCTGTTATTTCTTGGACAGCAGCAGAAAGAAGCAGAGTGTGCTTCTCCAGTGAAGCTGAAAGCAATGGATCCCAAACATCACAGTGTGGCATTAAATGATGGTCACTTCATTCCTGCGCTGGGACTTGGAACCTATGCACCTGACAATGTAGGTAATCTGAGTTACTTATGCTTTAGGGAACACAACAAACTGAAACTATGCTAAATGAAAGGTGACTTAGATTTGACGAAACCCAGTTCCTATGCAGCTCTTCAGGTTTTACTTTTTCTTCAGTTCTCCAGATTAGAGCAACTTCATGCAGAAAATTTACCTTAGGCACAATGTTTCTCTGCATAACAGTCAGAGCCTGGAGTTCCTCCCGGGTGACCTCAGACTTGTGTTTTACTTGTTTCTGTTTCATTCTGCTCACTTTGGTGAAGGAAAGAAAATAAATGTTCAGCAGAACTCTCAGCTTGTTTACCTAGTAGATGAATGAAGATAGAATGATTTCTCTTGTAATGTTTTTTTTAGGGTACAGTGCAAGAAAATTTTTTTCTCTCGATTTGTAGAAAGCAAAAAATGAGAAAAGAGACTAGTGCTGTTCTATACATGAGTTAATCAAGTACCATAAAATAACTCCTGGAGCTTGGCAAAGCAGATTTTTATCTTACTACTCTTAAGTCTGAGCCACTTGCCTGAATTCAAATACAATGTGGTATTAGGGGGAAAATAGGAAACTAATAAGAGCAATACTCTGATACTTTTTAACAACTTTGTAAAGAAGCATAGGACTCCAAGCTATATGGTGTATAGTGCTATTCATGAAACTGAGCACAAGGAGGGAATTACACACAGAGACGTTATCCCAGGATTATGTTATTTTGCAACATGGCACTGTTTACTTCAAATTTGCACTTGTAGCTTATTCTTGTGTACAACTCAAGGAAACCAATGAAGGTTGTTCTAAGGAAGCACATGAAGATGTCAGTAGTTTTTAGAGTGAGTTGACATAAGGAGACCAGGTTAGGTCAGCAGATAAAGTTTTGGCACTTGTAAATGTCTGAGAGTTATCACATCTAGGAAAAGTAGATTTCTGCCAGGGAGGGCAGGAGGATTTAGTTTGTGTTTAATTTTTAATGTATTGAATTATGTTAGCATCTCAAATTCTTCAAGCCAATGGAAAACAGCTTTATTCACATCATTGATCTTTAACTTGTAATTACAAATATCTATATCAATTTTGGAATGCTAACAATTTTAAACCTTACTTTATTTTTATGTTATCTAAAAATAGTAATTCTTCTTTCAAGGGATGGCATACAATTCCTTGCAAATTGATTTAGTTTTTCACATGAAAGTCAATAGCCCTTGACTATATAATTTTGAAGATCTACTTTTTTATCTAAAAGGTAGAATTGCATCAAGAGTGGCAGAGACAGAAAGTCATAGAAAGCTTCTATTAATTCACTCCCTAAATGCCTTCACTTCAGGCCTGTGCCAAGTTGAAGCCAGGAACTAAGAGCTTACCCTGGGTCTTCTACTTAGATGTAGGAACTCAAATACCTGGTGCATCTTCTACTTTTCCCAGCTTACGAGTAGCGGGAAAATGGATGAGAAGTGGAATAGCTTGGATTGGTGCTTACACCCATATGGGATCCTGGTGTCTGAGGTGGCAGCTTGAGCTCATATGGCACAGCACAGTCCCTTGAGTATACAATCTTTGTTGCTAGCAGCTATTTAGGTTGGAGCACAGCAGGGAAGGCAGAATCACTGTAGAACAGAATTAAAATCCTGCTGCCTATCAACTGTTTTCCTATTTTCAACCTTGCTCTGATTGTCACCAGGAAACATGTGTTAGTCCTCATTCTTAACTTAATTGTATTTAGACAGCAGCTATACTGCTTTTGCAAACAGTGGATTGTATGCTTCTCTTCTTTACAGCGAAAGCTAATGGTATCTATGGGACACAACCCCTTCCTTAAAGTGTCTAGGAGTTTTTCAACATACAGTTTATTTACAGATAATTTGAAAAGGGTATAAAATTCATATCCACAGAATTTGTTGTGTTCTGATCATTTCACTGGAAGAAGATGCACAGAAGCTTGAACCAAGTTTTCCACATTATATTCTATTTAACTCTTTCCTGTTTTCATTTTTTTGTGAATTCCCTAGTATTAGTAAAAAAAAAACATTGTATTAAATTTACTGCATTCTTTGTACCCTTTCATCATATCAATAAAGCAAGCATAGTTCCTCAGGAATTTTGCTTCCAGTGGCTAATAAGGATTACATTTGTGACGAGTTTCCTGAGCTGTCTATTTCTTGGTGTAAGTTGTGATATACCAAATTGCAAACTTCTTCTCATACATGAGGAAAACATCGGTTGTTGTAAAGATCACTGATGATGCCTGAGCTAGATACACGTATCCACAGATAACAATTTTATTACTTCTCAAGGTTCCTAAGAGTGAGGCTGGGGAGGCCACCAAAATAGCCTTAGATGTTGGTTTTCGCCACATAGATTCTTCTCATGCCTACCAAAATGAAGAGGAAGTCGGTAAGGCCATCCGCAGCAAGATTGCAGATGGCACCGTGAAGAGAGAAGACATATTCTACACCTCCAAGGTATTCTATATTTGAGGTATAAGGGTTCTAATTATTGAGATGTGATTTGTGGGAATTATAATTATCTATTCTGGGTTTTAATGTCTGAGGGGTTGCTTTTATTTCTGCATTTAAATGGCGCATTTTTTAAAGTTTTGTTTAAATTAAAACCATATTTATTTTCTTTCTTGCTTGCTTTCTTTTTTTCTTTCTTTCTTTCTTTCTGTCTTTCATTTAATGACACAATTGCATAGGCTCTGGGATTTGCCTTTACTCCCTCCCCAAATCCCCTGACCACCACTGGTTTTCCCCATATTATTACAATATTATTGTCCTACATAAGCAGTCCATCTTTCTGCTATGTAAGTGTATCCTGACACTGCATTTATGGGCACTGTGATAGGGTCCAGCTTCCTATTGTCAAGATAGATGTAAAAACTTCATTGGGAGTTCATTTTGGATTTGGAAGGAGAGATGCATACTGCATTATATCCTCACATCTAGTTATGACAGTCTATATTACACAGTTATTATAAATTCACTTAAATGTATAGTCTTAAAAGAAAATCAACAACCGGAATTAATTTTAAAAATTTTCATCACCATGAAGTTAAATACTGAGTTACTAATGTGTAGCTGAAAAAATGAGAAAATAAATGAAAAAACTTCTTGGAGAAAATAATACTACTATATGATTCATAAGCCAAAGAATAATTTAATAAAAGGAAAGAATCTATTTTGAAGAAATAAAAATAAAATGTTAAAGCCCATGAGTTGAAGCAAAAACAACATTAAAAGTTCTATTATTCTTATATTTTGCATAATGGTTGCTTTATAACCGAGAGCACATAAGAGATTTGTCTTTTTGAGTCTGATTTATTTTGTTGAATATGATGTTCTCTAGCAGGGATCAATTGGTTGCAAATGGTAGGATTTCATTTTTTTTAATGGCTGAGTAGTTTTCGATGAAGTAGATGTATCATAATTTCGTTATCCACTGCTCTTTGGATAGGCATCTGGATTGCTTCCATGTCTTTTCTATTCTAGATTGTGCTGTTATAAATATAGGGTTACAGATACTTTTCTCATATGCATAGCTCATTTCCCAAGAGGGGACTAATATCCAGGAATTACAAAGAGCTTCAGAAACTGAGTGATAGAAGACAAATAACCTTGTGAAGAAATGGGCAAAGAACATGAACAATCATTTCTCAAAAGAACAAATCCAAATTTGTCTGGCTAACAGACATATAAAAAAATGTTCAATATCTCTAGCTGTCAGGGAAATGCAAATAAAAATCACATTGAAGTTCCACCTAATCTCAGTGAGATTGGCCTACATTCAGAACTCTACTAACAGCATCTGCTGGCATGGATGTGGGAAGAAAGGTGAGCCCCTTCACTTTGGTGGGAATATAGGATAGTACCACACTGAGGAAGTCAGTTTGGAGAGTGCTGTAACAATTGAAAGTATGCCTGCTGTGTGACCCCATTTCCCCACTTCTGGGAATATATTTAAATTGCACATTTTATTTATATTTCATATTGATTTTTATTTTATATCTAATTCTTAAACATGTTGTGGTGTTCAGTTGTAGATATATGCACGCACATATATAATATTTTTGTAAACAAGATATAAATATCACAAAATGTGAGATTCTTGAATAATAATGTAATGAAGAGATAAAGTTATATTGTCATATAAATATTATAATTTAGTGAAGACAATCTATGTTCTACATAATAGGATAGCCACAGAAGTAAGTGTCCTATTTTTATGTATTTATTTTGCACATACATAGAACACACGTTTTTGCAGATGAATAAGATTCCATTATGTATTTTTTAAAAGATTTATTCATTTATATTAGAAATGGAGATATACAGAGAGGAGGAGAGACAGAGAGGAAGATTTTCCATCTGGTGATTCACTCCCCAAGTGAGCGCAACAGCCGATGCTAGGCCGGTCCGAAGCAAGGATTCAGGAACTTCTTTTCTTCCAGGTGTCCTACACGGGTACAGGGTCCCAAGGGTTTGAGCCATCCTCGGCTGCTTTCCCAGGCCAAAAGCAGGGAGCTGGATGGGAAGTGGAGCTGCTGAGATTAGAACCAGTGCCCATATGGGATCCTGGTGCGTTCAATGCTAGGACTTTAGCCACTAGGCCACGCCGCCGGGCCCTAGAAGAAGTGTCATAATTGAGTTTTTTATTTACATTCGCCTGATACCTGGTGAACCTGCATATTATTTTGGCAAATGATTTTACTCACTTTTTCTTTTTTGTATAAAAAGTATTTTTATTAGTTTTTACTTGAAACTTAGAATTATATATATATAGAGAGAGACGGCGATCTTCGTTCCTCAGGTTCACTCCTTATATGTCAAAAGGATAAGAGCTGGGCCAGTCCAAACCATGAGCGAGTAGTTCCCACATCGCATTGCACATACTTGCAGCTGCCAAGGCCTTTGCCTGCTTTCCAGGCCATAAGTAGGGAGCTGAAGAGTAGAGCAGTTAAGACTAGAAATGGCCCCCATTGGGCATGCTGGCATTTCACACGGAAGATTAACCTGTATGCCACCGTATCAGCTCCTGTGTATTTTTTAAACAGAACTTTTTGTTGTCATTGAGTGTATTCATCCTCTTATATATCTTGGATATTGATGTTTTGTTTGATGGATATCTTGCAAATATTATCCGCTATTCTTTTGCTTTTACCTTCATTTTGTAATTCATCACTTCTCTGTGCAGAACTCGTTAGCTTAGTAAAACACTATTTGTCTTTTTAAATTTTTTATCCTTGTGTATTTGAAGTATCTCCTTAATACTAATGGCCTATAATATTTCCTCCAAGTCTGACAATTTCAGGTCTAAAATGTAGATTCTTGGTTCACTTACTTGAAATGTGTGATACTCCTCTAAGATTCATTTCGATCCAGAATGGGCTAGCCCAAACCAGGATTCAGAACTTTTATTTAGGTTTCCCTAAGTAATGTTATTTACAGGGGTTTAAGCACTTGGGCCAAGGTCATGTGTCTTCATATGCATCTTAACAGGGAGCTAAATCTGATACAGAAGCTAAATCTTGAATGAGCCATTTAATATAGCATGCTAGCATTACACCAAGCTCAAAGTGTTGTCCCACAATGCCTGCCTATGCTTATTAATCTGAAGATTATTTTTCTAGTTCTTTTGGCTGCTGGATGTTACAGATATTTTGGTAGGGTGCTTCCTATCCATGAATGTACAATGCTTTTCAATTCTTTTCTGTGTCTTCTCTGTTTGTCATTTTTAGTGTTCTGCTGTTTTTATTATAAAGATCCTCCACATATTTTTGCTAAGCTTTCCCAAAGTAATTTTTTTGTTTTCTTGTTTAGTGATTGAACAAATAAAACATGTGAAATAAACACAATGGAACATTATTCAATCATGAGAAGAACATGTAAATATTTGCAACAGTATGGAAAGAACTAGAGATAATTACATTAAATGAAATGTGTTAGAATGTATACACATCAGTATTAGAATTTACAATGGAGGATTAAATGTAATTGAAGCATTTCATTTTCTATGTAGACTTAAATATTACTTCATTGAATCATACCATGTAAGACAAAATTTATCCTTCATTATTCATATTATGAATATCACCATGAATCCTTCATGTTGTGTAATATATCTCCATTTTTTTTAATTAAGGGTCTTGGGGGTATTCTGTCCAGCAAACCCTGAGACCACCGAGCGGGGAGGTGACAGTGCTCTTCTGCAGCAGAAACCCTGGAGACAAACTGGTGGTGAAAGTTGTCCATTTATCAGAAGGAACTCACGAGCTTGTTGGGGGCTAAAGCCTAGCCCAACCCAGCCAGCACCCAGTCCCAGCCATAACGTGTACTGGTGTGTGTTGCGACCAGACCCGGCATGACCCACACTTGGTTCTGGTGCTTGGATTTTCCAGTGGGTGATGTGAAATGGCCCTGCCTGGTTCGCCCCCAACCTATGCCAAATGTATGCCGCTGGGTACCATTCCTGGCCTGGTCTGGGCTTTCCCTATCGTGGTTCTTGTATTCACTTGCATGCACTGTGTCCCGAAGGAGAAGTTTCCCAGTCTCCTCAATTAGAACCATTCCCAGTGCAAGATCTTGTGCACACGGGTGGGTCCATGGGCCAGCCCTATACAGTCCAACTCCTGATCTAGCAGGAACAATGGCCTTATCTGACCAGCCTTCAGTGCATTCCAGTTATTATTGTTGGGTATTGCAGCTCAGTCTAGCTGGACATAGCTCATACCTGGCTCATCAGGGACAAAAACCTAGCCTAGACCGTCCTACCCCTACCCTGGTCTTCATGAGCACCAGTGGGTGCTGGACTCTAGCCCAGTCTGGGAACCCAGCCCCAGCCTACACTGTGACAAGTTATGCTGCAGCCTTCTCTAGACAAAAACACAGCTCCCATTTCAGCCCCGTGCTTATCAGTGGGAACCAAAACCCAGCTAGGGCATAACCTTAGCTCCCCAACTAGATGTATTCCCAGTTATAACTCTTGCATTTGGCCGTGGTTGCTCCAACTCAGCTTGGTCCGATCCCTTGCCTCTCATAACCTTTGCATTTGGATGCAGTAGCCTGTCTTGACCCAGCATACACAAGTCCCACCACTCGCTGGAGGGTGCTGGAATCTGACCCTGCTCCATCTGCTCCTCTACTAGTCTCATGCAATCTGGTTTGTGTGACAGCCCCAACTTCTTGAGCTGGATTTGGAGGTGGGCTGGGGCAGGCCAGGCTAGAACACCCACTGGTGAAAGCAAAGGTGGGCCAGGCCATGACAAAACGAGACACAGCACCCAACTAGCACATGCAAGACCCGGGAGGGAAGGGATAAAGCTGGTAGAGGAAGTGTGGAGGGCTCCCCTACTAGAATACCACTTCTACTGGATAGCCTGAGTTGCAGTGTGGGAAGACCAGTCCAGGCAGAGCTACAACACCTGTGGGCCTAATGTGAGCTAGTTCAGGGAAAAGCCAGGCTGGATTGATGGCTCCTACTGGTACAAGCATAGATCAGAGTGGGTGAGGGTTGGTCGGGCTTTGCCACAACATCAGCTGGCATATCTGGCATCGGGGGCTAATTCCGTCAAGCTATACTGCAGAACCACCTGGAAAGCACATGATCTGGGCATGGGCTCAGGAGGGAAACAGTGGGTACCTCCCTCTTGAGTTACCACTCCCACAGGCGAGCATGGACTGGGCAAACGTGGCTAGACAGAACGGCACCCACCAGCAGGTGTGTGGACTGGAGAGTGGGGCTGGTTGGGTTGAACTAGGCTTCAATGCCCATTGACATGTACGAATGCTGAATGGGATGTGGGACAGACTAGACCAGTCTGCTGCACATACTGGAAAGCACGGGAACCAGGGCAGGGGCAGGCCTAGTTGGTGTTTTGGGGGGTTGCCCCGACTAGGCTACAGCTCCCACTGGTTTATGTGAGGGCCGAGTGTGTGGTGGGCAGAATCAGGCTGAATTGCAACACCCATCAGTTCTTGTAGAAGATGGGGCTGGAAACAGAACTGACCCAGACATTGCAATCACCAACATAAGCATAAGCTGATTGGGGCAATGGGCTGTTCTGGACCCTGTACTGGTATGCACACACAGGAATCAGGCCTGGGATCACCTCAGACAAGGTTTCTTTGTGAATCCCTCCAACTGAACTGCTGATCTTAGAACCCCAACCGTAAGAGAAGTGCAGGTTCCATGGTCTGACAATGGAGTGCAAGTGTCAAAGTGGAGCCTCTTCAGAGGCTCAGATGGAACCATAGACAGAAAATCCAAGTGCACATGGAGGATATGGCAGTCTAATGGAACCTGCAGAGGATACCTGGAACCACAACAGGACGGAGGACAAAACACATTGATATCTACCCCAGCCATGTGTTGGCAGTGAAAATCTGGGCAGACAGAGTAAGGTACATTGTGTCAGCCAGTGGATTCTGGAAAGATTTAACCATGTTTAGAATGGCGAGGCTGGCAGCAATTCAGAACTATTGGATTATCAAAACCACTTGAGGAGGACCCTCAGAGCATGTCCCATGTCGAGGTGCTGGGATGGGTGGGAGGCTGAGTGGGCTTTTCCCTTTATTCCCCCCCTTACCTCAGATCCAGAAAAAAAAGTAATGAGGAAGCTATGATCTTACCCACTTTCCTGTATCCCTTGACCCTTTGTGTCCTAATCAACTATGTAAAGATTATTTTTTCAAAAAAAGTCACAAGCTTATATAGAAGAAGGGGGCAGACAGAAGAGCAGTCTCAGCAGTATTTCCAGCCATTTGGAAAAATTTGTGACACTCTCCACTTTTTCAAAGTTTGAGTAAAATGTAGTATGTTGAAGATCCTTGCTAGTTATGCTTTTTGTGGTTTTAGACACTATGTGTTTATATGTGCATAACTTTCTATATGTAGGGTACTTCTCTACTGTTATTTCTTTGACAAGGTTTTCTTAGCCATTTTTCTGTACCATTCCTTTGGGGATTCCAGAAACATATTCCAGAGATCCAGGACATTGTTTCAATGTGTAATTTTATATTTTTCTTTTTTATTTAATGTAGGTATTTGAAAAAATCTCTCATTGAGACAATTGTTCCTTTTTATGCCTTCTGTGTCTTTGCTAGTGTCTCCCATTGTGTTTTATTTGCTTTTTCATTTATAATGTTTCTGTTTGTTTCTTTTGTAATATCATTGGCTCTTTACTTTGTAAAACATGACAAATATAATAAAAACAACTGCCACTACTGCTAATTGATGGCATATTTCTCTTCTGTGTAATATCCACCAAGGATTATTCTGTTTACTAGCAATATCCAATCAAATGTTGGAGGTGCTGATGAAGTGTCAAAGTGCAGAAAATCCCAAAAATGAAGAGGTCAATTTGTTTCTGCGTTTAGTAATGCTTAAGTAGTAAACTAATTCTCAATATTAGGTTAAAAAAAAAGCAACTTGGCTAATGTATTCATTGAGCATCTTTTCCTATGTTTAACCCCTATAGCTTTGGTGCACTTTCTTTCGACCAGAGCTGGTCCGAAAAGGCTTGGAACAGTCACTGAAAAAACTTCAACTGGATTATGTTGATCTGTACCTTATGCATTACCCAGCAGCTATGAAGGTAGGCAGCAAGTCTCATCAAATTTATTGCATGTTAGCTACCTGTACAACCATCATTTTAATGAATGACATATTTGCAGAAGTTTAATATGTAATGTATAGTTACCACTCAAATTGTCTTCAGCAATATCATTAGTTGGATTATGTAAAAGGAGAACCCAATTCATCAGTAATGCACACATTTTGTGTAACTTTAAAAAATACTTTTGTACTCTCAGTTTTTACACTGCACTACCCCTGGTTTAAAGATTTTCTCATAGCCTTTCAACAATGATTAATTTGACTCAGGCACAAGTCAAAACTATGGCAATTACCATTGGATAGCTGTTCTACATCTTCTAGTGTTGCTGTTGCTATGGAACAGAGTATTGATCTGTGATTTTTGATCCAAGTGCTTGCTGTTTAATGTATGTATTATTGGGGAGGTAAGACTCATTGACTCTTTAGCCTGGGTGAAACTTACAAGCCATTATTGGTGCAGTTAAAGGTCATGTAGTTTTTGATTATCATAGTGAAAGAAAGATGTATTTTCTCTAAGCAAATTGATAGAGCAGAAAAAATAACAACAATCCTCTATCGCCTAGAGAATTTTGATATTATTCTCATTAACACACAGTGTAGATACAAAAAGAGAGCAAACTTGCTGCATAATAACATTCTTAGCCATGCCATAGACAAGCACACTGAAAATATACATGTCTGTGGAATGTCGCCCTGCGTATTTGACTGAAGTCTACTGTTCCCAACCTAAATGTATCTGGGTGTTTATTTCATGGTGTGGATGTGCGAATTTGGCAATATTGTGAATACATGTTTATCTCTGTTTTAGCCTGGGGAGGAGCTATTCCCAAAAGATGAACAAGGAAAAGTTATACATGACACAGTGGATATCTGTGCCACTTGGGAGGTGAGTATTGGGAACATCAAATGCAAAGACAGCAGAATGGAGTCACAGGGTCCCAATTAAAGTGACAGATCGAGCATTCTTGAGTGCAGGATCATGTCATTGTTAAGAGTTAGTGTATTCAGGTGGGAAGGTGTAAGTCTGAACTGGGATGGCACAGACAGAATTGGAGAATTAGAGGCAAGCAAGGTTATTTCAGATTTCTTTTCATGTAAAACAGTTTCTCTGATTGTCTGTATAGGACACAAGGACTTGTTCTCTTCTCTCATCTTCTCCTCTGTTCATAATCTCTTGACAGTGTTCTTTTCGATGCTGCTGTTGTGTCATTATGATATTTTTGCCATTTAGGAAACATTCTTCATAACCTTTCTTCTCAGGAATTGGAAAAGTGCAAAGATGCAGGATTGGTTAAGTCCATTGGGGTATCCAACTTCAACCACAAGCAGCTGGAAATGATTCTGAACAAGCCAGGACTCAAGTATAAGCCTGTGTGCAACCAGGTCTGGACACTCAGCCTCCTTCTTCTTTTTATTTTTTATTTTCAAACCCTTCTTTTTATACCAGTGGCAGGAATCCATTTGCCCTTCACTGCTATTCCACATATAGTTCAGAATGAATGTTTTATGGGCAGAGCCTTAGTCTGGTTAGACAACAAGTAGTGCCATAAGTTACCTCTTGGCTTGGTAATGTCTTAGTGAAAAGGTTGGGAGACATATGTGCTGAAATAAGTGGGAAGTAAATATGAGCAAGAAGGGAACTTGTCAGTAAACAATCCTCAATGAGAAGATAGATTTGTTCCAGACCATTGTGGAGTACCTAGACGGATGCCTAGAACACTGACTGCTGAAGGTGATGCAGAAGGCACCATCCATGGCAAAGGTGGCTTTAGAAACATCTGATGGGCAGTAAACAAAGACAGTCCAAAATGGTATCCTAAGAGAAATCAGAATGATAGGTTGTCCCACACTTAGCAATTTATTTTTGGTCACTTTATTAAGCTAGTAAGAACCACATCTTCCTTTAGCAAATATCTATTTCACGCACTGTAATTGTTGATAATATCAGTTGATAACATGCAACAGATAATGCTACATAAATGAGCATCCATGGGTGATGTTTTATCTTCAATGATTTTTACTCTGGGGTTTGCTAAGTTATTTGCATTTCAGCTGAGCTTTTTGTTTTATTTGCTCTACATTTGCTCATTAAGTTATCATGAATTATAATTGTTCCTGTGAGACAGCATCAGTTTTAATAACTCTCTAATTATTAATGCTGTAGTAATAACCATCATAAGGTGTAAATCTTTGTCATCTCTGTCACCCTTTTTCCCTTTTTTTTTTTTTTACATATTTGTAACTATATACCTATGGGTTTTTATTCACTGTTCAGGTGAGAATTTTTTTTTTCCTCATTATTTGTTAGATGCTGAAATGTAGTCAAAGTGGTAAGAATTCTATTGTAATGACTTTTTTTTTTCATCAGTTCCCATAAGTTTTAAAACAATAATTGTTTTTTGGCACCATTGAAGTCCAAATTGCAAAATATGACTTCTTTTTCCCCCATGTGGTGTTTGTCATTTACTTAACACAAAAGCATTCTTATCGTACAACCAAGATCTAGTCACAGATCTGCTTTTCTTAGGAATGTCTTGTTTTTACATTTCTAGGAAACAAACTCTTAGAATTATTACTTAAAAACATCCTTATTGCAGGGCTGTCAGTGAGGCACAACATGGTGAGATAGGCTTGTGAAGCCTGCAGCCCACATGGAGGACAAGTTCATGTTCTCACTGTCCATTTGCAACCTAGCTATGTGGAAACACATCTAACACAGTACAAGTTATTGCGAGTGCTTGGGCCCCTGCCATCAACTGGGGAACCTAGGTAGAGTTTGGGGCACCACATTAGGCCTGGGTCAGACCCGGCTGTGGTGGTCATTTGTGAAAGTGAACCAGTAACTAGAGGCTCTCTTTCCTCTTCCTCACTCTCTCCCTCTTTCTCTATCTCTGTCTGTCTTTCAAATAAAATACAACCTTCAATGCAAAATTTAACAAAATCTTAGTTGGTCGTATTTTGTCTAATTTTGTGTTTCAATTCTAAATGCAGCTATTTTTATTTTCTGAGTTTCCATTTATTTTATTATTAGCTAGCATTAAATGTATTCTGATATTTGAAACTTTCTGCAGGTGGAATGTCATCCCTATCTCAACCAGAGCAAACTGCTGGATTTCTGCAAGTCCAAGGACATTGTTCTGGTGGCCTATGGAGCTCTGGGGTCAAGTCGAGATCCAAAATGGTAAAGAAAACAGAAAGGTTAAATCACTGCTTATGAAATACTATAGATCATAAACACTTAGGTTTATAGTTTTTCTTTTTTTATTATATTTTTGACAATCTTTACATAGTTAATTGGGGTAGGTTTATAGTTTTTCTTTTTTATTATATTTTTGACAATCTTTACATAGTTAATTGGGGTAGGTTTATAGTTTTTCTCAGATGACATAGAGAGGGGTTACTCTGCATTTGTAGCAACACATCAGATGATATGAACTGCTGGTTCAAGGACTACCTTTGATAAGCACTGATTTAGTGGGCTCCATGTGTGTTTTGGAAACCATTTATTAAGCTGCTCAGGCTCAGGAATTCAGCCTTTCTACCTTCCATTTAAGGGTGGACCAGAGTTTCCCAGTTCTCTTGGAAGATCCAGTGGTTTGTTCCTTGGCCAAAAAGCACAAACAAAGTCCAGCCCTGATTGTCCTTCGCTACCAGCTGCAACGTGGAGTTGTGGTCCTGGCCAAGAGCTTCATTGAGAGGGAGATCAAAGAGAACATTCAGGTAATGAGAAACTGAGACTGGAGGAATCAAGTATCCTACAGATTATCCTTACTATTCATTCTTTGTAAGATATCTTTGAGCCAAGTCTTCATTCATATATTCAAGTTTTGGTCCATTTTTGAGACATGATGAGTAGACATAATTATAATTGGACAGCAAACAGGGCATCAAAATTTGGCATTAAATGACAATTTGCTTGGTAGCATAATATAAATGATGTGTTTTATGAAATTAGTGCTTTAAAATCAATAATTTTTGTTTATAAATTATTACATATATTTGCAATGTCAAAATTTACATAGTTAAAATTTACAAGTCTGTATTTTCACTTAGTTTCCCTGTTTTTTACAGCACTTGCTCCAATATTGGCCCATTTAAATGAACTAACTGTGTATGTATTTTTTTTAAAGATTTATGCATTGTATTTGAATATCAAATTATGGAAAGAGAGAAGTAGAGAGATAGAGAGACAAAGAGAAAGATCTTCCATGCAGTGGTTCACTTACTACATGGCTGCAAAGGCAAGAACAGGACCAGTATGAAGCTTGGAGCCATAGTTCTTCCTATTCTCCCACATTGTGGACCAAGGAACTGGATTGGAAGTGAAGTAGCTAGGTGTTTATGTGAGATATGATGTCACAGGAGGAAAATCAGCTTGTTTTAGCACCTGCCATTGTACTGCATTTTCAGCCAAGTAGGTATTATTTAACCATTAACTGTTCTAATCATGAAACAAAATATTTTACTCACAAAGGATTATACAAAATTAATTTTTCATCTAATCATTATAAGGCTGAAAATTGCCTCTCACTCAGTCTCAACTTACCCCATTTGTGTTGTATCTTGAGCTCTCATGTGCTTGTTATCCACTCACTCATGTATTTATACATGAGAAACTCTCTTGTGGAGAATTGATTGAGCATGTGTGACAGGGCAAGGGGCTGAGTTCAACCCTACACTGAATGACCTTGAATAGGAGATGAGAGGAAAGTGGCCTTGGTCACAGCCCTGGTTCCCCGAATCCACATCCACCCCATCCCAAGTCCTCAGCTCAGAGACAAGGACAATCTGCTTACTCCACACAAAGGAGACAGGCCTAGCTACCTGTTCTGAGCAGCCTGGAGACCACAGTCTCTCAAGAGTGGTGGTCACTTGGTGAGAAAGAGAGGGGCTCTGGTGTGTCACGGACAACCTGAATGCAGCCACAAGGCACACTTTGGCTCCCAGTTTCATGAGGAAATGGTCAGTCTCATTCACTTGGGCCCCAGCACAGTACTTTTCATCCTGCATCCAAGTATTCCAGGCTTCACTTCATCACATTGCACAGTGCACCAGCCTTGATTTTATATAGGCAAGACTTTCTCAGAACTGGCAAGCGATTGCATTTGTAAAGTTCTGTTTACCTTTGAAGCAGCTAGGCCACACTGGAGTGGTAGAGTAATAAATAATGGAGCCAAAGTGCATGCAGATTACCCATGTGGAATATTGGGAAATATTTCTTTAATCAATGACCAATGGACTTTAACTTCATACTGATATGTATTTATTAAAACATGTTCTTGGAACCATTGTATGACACAGTGAATTAGGGTGCTATGGTCTCACTGATACCATGTATGTAAGCCATCTGACTTAGTTAATTCACTTTCAATCCAGTTCCCAGCCAGTGTGCTTAGGATAGTAATAAAGGCCAATTGTCCAATCCCTGGCCATTCTCATGGGAGACCTTATGAATTTGTTAGCTCTTGGTTCCAGTCTAGTCTAGCCCTGTCCATTGCAACAACTTAGCAAGTGAACCTGCAGAAGGAACAATGCTGTTACATTCTCTTCTCTTTCAGGAATTATGCTGCTCAAATAAATAAATATTTTAAGATATGTTTTCAACAATTTCATTCTCTTCATGGTATAGCTCCATGATTTAAAAAATCTTACTCTTATGTAGTTAAATCTTTATGATTGATGTATATCATTAACTTTCCTATAGGGAGAACATAATAATATTTCACCACAGTATGAAATGATTATCTTTGTTTTATAAATCTGTTTATTAAATGAATCATTATTTTTTAAATACTATGGGATAAAACATATGATAGTCTTCTGACATGAATTAATGCTTTTTAAAGGAATATCGAGGTTAAGTATATAGTTTCTTGTTACCATTCCTTCAATCTTCAAGTCATAAATTAATCTCTTTTCCATTTCTGTAATTTTGTTTAAAGGATGTTATCTAAATTCAACTATATAACATGAAATATTTGAAATTGAATGGACATATACTTATAAAATATTTCCCAATGACCTTTTGATAATTTGGGGGAATTATCAACATGTGAAATTTTAGTAAAATTTACAAATGTGAAAAAAAAGAATCTGGAACATTGGGGTGCTCATAGACCATATGGAAATTCAGCTTCTGATCTAAGAGGGTGAGAATGCACTCCATGAAAAAGCAAAAAATTATTGCTCTAGTGTCTAGAATGTGCAACCCTTATAAGTAACACAAAATGATTTCCAATTTGATAACTTCTGTCTGTCCCGGCAATGATACTTACAGACATTTGCCTATAAACCAGGAGATGAGAGATGTCTCTCTTTATGACTTCCCGATTTTCCCTGTCTCTTACTGTGTCACTCTAACACATCAAAGGGCCCTCCTCCTCCTCCAGGTAGTGTATGTACGTAAACTCCTCTCTTCAATGGTTTCTTTTCATTTTGTGGTGTTTTCATTGCATTGGAAAACAAAACTGTATTTCCCAACAAAACAGAAAGTTTTCTAACTCCTCATATTTGAAATATGTTGGCTATTTTTTATTGAACAAGCTGTTATATAAAACTTTAAGCAGTTGCTTGATATTAAAGTCCCACATTGTTTTTCAGATAACATTTTTTAAAAGATTGTATTTCTTTTTATTGCAAAGGAATACAGGAGGAGAGACAGAGAGGAAAAACTTATGTCCATTGATTTACTCCCCAGGCAGCTGCAATGCCCCGAGCTGAGCCAATCTGAAGCCAGGAATCAGGAGCTCTTCCAGGTCTCTCATACTGGTGCAGAGTCTCAAGGCTTTGGGCTGTCCTTAATTTCTTTCACAGGCCCCAAGCAGGGAGCTGGATGGGAAGTGAGGCCACAAGGGTCAGAACCGGTACCCAAATCCTGGTCCACTCAAGGGAAGGACTTTAGTTGCTAGGTCATCGTGCCAGTCCCCAGATAACTTTTAAAATATTTCTTTCTTTTTGAAATTGTCAACATTTTTCATTTCTTCTTTTCCATGTTCTTTTATTTATTGTTGGGATGCAAGCATCAAACTGTGTCAAGGAAGTTGACTAAATGAGCTTTCATAGTGGATGGCCCTATCCTCTTTTAATTAGGTGATTTCCAGTTAGTTTGTAAGCTTGCTTCTAAAGCTAATGTTGAATTTCTTCACACAATATTTGTTTTATTTATTAATTATTTTATGATTTGCGTATATGCAACATGTTATGTACTTCATCTTTGCATTTCTAAAGCATAGGATGTTTTCCTTTTTCTCTCTATTCCTCCATCCCTTTATCTTCGTGTCTTCCTTTGTTGTTGTAATAACTTTATGATAAAATACAGTCAAATAATCTCATAATTTATGACTTAGTGCTCAACTTCATGAAGTGTAAAACAAGTGAAAAGTTGTTTACTGTTCCACAGAAATACATACAAAGATAGCTGTAAGAAATACTGTAGATACAGTAATGAAACCTTAGGATGTTGATTTCTTGCATTTGCATTCAGTGTGGTATGTGTGTATTTGTTATGTTACATATTAGCTTCCACAAAACAGAGAAAATATATAATAATTTGATTTTTGGAGACTGACTACTTTCCTAAGCATTATGATCTTAGAGGTATTCATTTTGTGAGAAAAGGCAATAGTGATTCTTTCCTTAAGGCTGACTAGCATCCCATGATATATGTAAGCTGTGTTTTCTTTGCCCATACATTCATTGATTGATGAATATCTTGACTGATATTTTAGCCTAGCTATCGTTAATTCAACTGCTATAAAAATAAAGTACAAATATTCTTTCATTTGCTCATTTCACTGCATTGTATAAAAGCCAATGAGGTTGTTGTGTCTGCAGTGATTTGGTTCTATTTTCATATTTATAAGTACTTTCCATGTTAATTTCCATTATTGTAGCAGCAACTTACATTCCCATGAATAGTTTTTATTCATGAGTGATTTTTAATGTATTAAAATATTTGAAATATCTCAGGATTTTTCAGTTTGGCAAATACTCTACATAAGAATAATAAAATATTGTCCTTCTCTAACAGGTATTTGAATTTGAGTTGTCTTCAGAAGACATGAAAAGTCTAGATGGATTGAACAGGAATGTTCGATATTATCCTGCCGATTTGTAAGTAGTTTTACAAAGTGTGTTACCTGAATTTATGTTCTGAGGAGGAATATAAGATCTATATTAGCCTCTACTTCCATAGTGTCTGCAAAAAGGCACTATGGGAACCACCAAAGAAGACTGACTAAAAGTTGTAAATTAAAATTTACTTCCTCTTCTCCCAAAGCTTCCTAATTCTTACCTGACTGAAAAATTTTCCACAGTCTGATCCCAGGCGGAATTTTTTTTTTTAGTCATCTCCATGCTTGTTTATTTTACAGGCCATTAAGATAATTCACATTCCAGATTTTTGTAGATTTATAAGTAAACAATTAGTGTCAGTAACTAATGTACAGGTTGAATATACATTTGTATGAACAACTGATTTAGTTTTGGTAGCTGATCTGTACAAAATAGTCTTGGATTTAAAAGTACTTGAAAAAAATCAGCTTAGATTGTAAATCCTGTGAATTGTCTTCTGTTCCTTGTAGCAGATTTGTTTGACAATGTTCTTCCCTAAACTTATCCATGTAAGAAATTACAAATACATTTTAAAATTTCAATAATACTTTTGAAAAAAGATCTCAGAGATCTTTAAAGATTACTCATTCAAACATTTTAGGGGAAGGATGGATGAGTGATACCAAAATAAAATAAAATGTATGTGGTGGTGAATTTCCAAACATTAAAACATTACACTAATAACAAGATCAAAGGCCAAAATAATCCATTATTTTGGGTAATGTTGAGAGCAACACCCAATAATCCTGAAGTATGATAATATTAACTTGAAGTACAGCAAATTATATGAAAAACTATTAAAAATTCAAAATAAGCATAGCTCATCCATTTGCATAAATGTATATTCTCACCATATGAAGTTGTTCTTACAAGTTTGCAAATTAATTTTCAACATACTGAAATCTCCCTCTTTTTTTGTGTTTGTTAAGAACTCAAAACTTTTGTTCACCCTGAGAAAGGCTGACTTTACAACGTTATTGGAAATACAGTTTTCTGAAATATGGTAATCTCATTAGAGATGTTGAAGTCTTCAAAATAGATCATAAAACAGTAACAACAAAACAAAAAAACAGTGTAGAAGAGAATTTGCAGCCAACAAAAGATCCTTACTCCCCTTTTGTCCACTAAGTTTACAGGAGCTGGCAAAGACATTCACAAGCAAGGATTATTATAAGTCTACATATTCAAAATTGAAAGATGTGTTATAGTTATTCATGTTTGACTGTTACAGAGACAAATGAAAAGTACGTCAGGGAAATCAGGTAGACATGTAGTGATGAGGCATGAATAATTCCCACAATCATTCACTTTGCATAAATACACATTTTTTAAATATAATAATTAATTATTGTGTTTTCACTGTATATTTTCAGTAGTTAGGAAAATAGAGAAACATGTGCATTACACAGGAAACATCTTGACACTGAACTCTGTCTTATCAAATAAATCCATTTAGTATTTTATTGAATGATGAGCTAGGAGCAATCAAGAGCATTAATCAAACTGGTGTCAAACTGCTAGCAGTGACATATACATCCTAAATCCTTTTCTTTCAGTGTTAAACAGTATGCGTATGTTTCCTGTTCATAAACACACAGCTGCATTTCATTTATCATTGAGAACATATGTAAGCTAATCTTGAATATGGCTTTGTGTAATTGAAAGATACAATCATGTTAAAAGTATATGTTTGAATTCTTTATTCTGGATGTACAATATGATACGTTCAAGGTAAAGACTATAATGTGCAAATTTTGAGTGAGGTTATATATTTGTCATAAAGTAATGCTCTTTAATGTGAGATTTTAAGATGGAGAGTTAGCTTATTTATTTCAAATTTTTTGGATAGCTCCAAAAAATTCACTTTTTTTTTTTTTTTTGCTTTTAGAATGTAGTCATTGAGTTTAAACTATGCTCCTCTCATTTCAGCTTTATTGGACACCAAAATTATCCATTTTCTGATGAATATTAACCTGAAGACCTTTATTATAATTTCTACTACAAGTTCCTTCCTGTGGACCATGGTGTAGGGGACATGGCAGATGTTGGTGACTGGGCACCCTCTTCTGGTTAATGCTTTCCTTAGCAACTTGCCCTTGGCCAGATTTGTACCCATAGGACATAAATTCATGACTGTAAAGCTTTGTCATTGTGGAAAACTAAATGATCTTTTATTAAAAATTTTACCTACACTCTTATACTATTGTTTGCCTGCATTGTTTTATTCTGACTCTTTAGACCCTTAAACTGATTTGCCTTGAAGTTTGGAGATCGCTGTGGGAAATTGTAGTAGCGAGTCCAAAATACTTGCTGGGATACACCTGGGAATGCCTGTCAGTCTGCAGAGTTTGGAAAAGATTTTTCTGTATAAGCCCAAACATCCTGAGGATTTATATTGCAAGGGAATATCGCAAGATGACCAATAGTCCAGTGATGCCTCCTGGCAGCTTTTGATAAGGGCACCGATATTAGAGATTTGCTATATTTACAGCACATTAAGTTTTTTTAATAAAGATTTATTTATTCTATTGGAAAGTCAGATATACAGAGAGGAGGAGAGACAGAGAGGAAGCTCCACCTGATGATTCACTCCCCAAGTGAGTGCAACTGCCGGTACTGTGCTGATCCAAAGCCAGGAGCCAGGAACATCTTTCCAGGTCTCCCACGCAGGTGCAGGGTCCCAAGGCTTTGGCCATCCTCGACTGCTTCCCCAAGCCACAAGCAGGGAGCTGCATGGGAAGTGGAGCTGCTGGGATCAGAACTGGCACTCATATGGGATCCTGGCACGTTCAAGGTGAGGACTTTAACCATTATGCTATCGCGCTGGGCTCAGCACATTAAGTTTTAAAGTTGCAAGGGATTCAGCCAGGGAGAGTACCTTAGTAATCAGAACTGAGCGGGGTTGAGATTGAGAAACTGAATTCATCTATGCCTGAAAGTGTTGCCAGCAGTTCTTTGATATAAATATTAGTAGATAAAAATTATGATACCCAGCCATCAGGGAAATGCAAATTAAAACCGCAATGAAGTCTTACCTCACACATTAGAATGGCTGTCATCTAACAATCACAAAATAACAAATGTTGACAAGGATGTTAAGAGAAGAAAACCTTCCACATTACTGGTTAAAGTAAACTAGTACTTTACTAGAAAAAATGGAAAATATGGAGATTTCTCAGAAATTTGAAAATGGGTCTAACATATGACATAACCATTCCACTTCTGCGATTTTGCCAAAGGAAATCAAAAGAATATTTGAAATGATCCGTACTGCAGTGTTTATAGAGGCACAACACAAATAACTAATATATCAAATCACTCATATATTCAACAACTTATAAATGGATCAAGAAATTGTGCTAGGGGATAAGGGAACATGGAACTGTATCATAAAATGATAGCAATAATAATGAAATGTTAAAAAAAAGAAATTGTGCTGTATAATACATGGCAAAACACTAGTCAATCTTAAAAAAGAGAAAGAAATCCTTTGTTTTCTGCAACAAAATGGGTGCAACTGCAAACCATTATGCTTAGTGAAATAAACCAGTCCCCAAAAGACAAATATCTTATGTTCTCCCTAATTGGTGGAAAATAATATACAGAGCACAGCAATCAAAAGTAAATGAGTAAACTGAATACATTGAGAATTTATTACTGATTAGTTATTGGTTATATTCTTGAGTAATGCTTGTTTCCTACTCACTGCTTTTAGAAATCTTTATTTAGTGGAGGGTTAAGCTTGTGATTATAAAGTAAATTGAAAAAAATGTTATTACCAAAGTAAAAGAAAAATGAAAACAGAAGGAGGAATAATTGGAAGGAGAGATGAATATAAATACCTCTATGCTCTTAAAGCATATACATGAAATGCATGACATTTCTTCATTTTACATACATACATGCTTAAAAAAGAGAAAAAGGGAACTAAGTATGTTGTCAATAAGAGAGTCCTGTAAATCAACTCCATAATTTTCAGTCACTCACCTTCAGTCTCTCTACAATTTATAGCCCTGTATTTAAATTAAGTAAATATTTTTTAAACTAAAAACACACACAAATATATAATTATATGTCTTATGGACTACATATCTAAGCTATACAACGATTTACATTAAGTCCATTATTAGCATCTATAAACAATAGAGATTAGCATAATGTAAGTAATGGATGTATGCAGAATTCCCATTACTATTTTTGTTATATTTTTGTATTACATCACCTTTGCTTGTGAAGTATGTTTCTTGAGGCAACCCAGAGATTAATCTTTTCTTTTTTATCTTCACTTTTTAAAGTATTTATTTAGTTTTATTTCAAGAACATAGTTACAGAGATAAGAGAGAGAGGGAGAGAGAGTGAATGAGACAGAGAGAGAGAAAGAGAGATGTATCCATTGGTTCTCACCTCAAACAGCTACAAAGGCCAGAGCTGGGCTGTTCCCAAGGCAGGATCTAGGATTCAGGCTCTTCTACCTGGCCTTCCACATGGGTACAGAGGTCCTAGGGCTTGGCCCCTCCTCCAGTGCCTTCAAAGACTATTACCAGGAAGCCACATTGGAAGTAGAGCAGCTGGATTTGGTGCCCATATGGGATGCTGGTTCCACAGGTGGAGACTTAGTGTGCTATACCATGATACCAGAATCATTTTTAATTTTTAAATTGAATCAATCAATGCCTTTTTATTGGGACATTTAGCTCATTTATAGTCAGCTATTAATGATAAATAACAAATTGCCCTTGAAATTTTAATATAAGTATTTTCATAGCTTGTATTGAATTTCCTTCAGTTGTTTTTTCACGAGGTTTTCCACCTTCATATTTTTTCTCATGATGCTAATCGACTCCTTTCTGTGGCACATTAATCATAATTTGTAAGACTAGACAGGTATTAGCACATTCTTGAAAGTTCTGCTTATCTTGTACATCTTTATTTCACATTCATTTATAAATGAGAGCTTGGCTAGGTAGAGCATTCTGGGTTGGTAATTTTTGCTTTTAGAACATAAATTATGTTTTCAGTCTCTCCTGTCCCACAGAGAAATCAGCTCTCAATTTGCTGGAAATTCCTCTAAAAATGAAACCAAATCTCAAAAATGCAAAAGCAGGACAATCCTATTGTCTGTCTCCCTTAGTCTAAGATGTCCTCACATGTCCTTTATCAAAAGAAATTCGTTGAAGGCTCCAGCAAGCCTTACAAACTTTTCAACCATTGGACTCAAGGAGTCCTTTGCTCTCCATTAGACAGGAACCTTTGGTGGCCAGCATGCCTGGGGTGATTTGTTTCTGTGCAGAATATGACTGCCACATGCACTTAACCCCCATACCAACTGGAGCCACTTGGCCACCATAAATTCTCTCAGAAAGATCACAAGCACCACTGACCGTGAATTTGGACACCAATTGATCATGCACCTCTCTTCCTTAATTTCAACCCATAAGAACCTTGACCCCTAAATCTTTACACAGGGATTATGCAACAGCTGCTCAGCTCATTGCTCTGTGTACTTTGCAATATAAACCTACTTTCTTTCACCTCCCTGATATCAGTGATTGGCCTTCTGTGCAATTGGTGAGCAGATGCAGTTTGGAAGTTCTATAGAAAGAGCTCCAACTAGCTCGGGCTGTTATTCAGCAACAAAGGTGTCCTGGTATAATTCATTTGAAAATTTTAGAGGACTCTATTTTGTTTATGAAGGTTTGACTATAAGCTACCACGGTGAGGCTGTTTTTTTGATCATGCCTAATTGTGGTTCAATGCATTCCTTCTATTTTTATGTCTATATTTTCCTTTAAATTTGTAATACTTTCCATTATTCTATAATATTTGTATTGTATTTCTCCCATGTGGAAGACCCAGGATGTGCTCCTGACTACCAGTCTTCAATTGAGCCAGGAGCTTCTTCCAGCTCTCCCACGTGAGCACAGAAGCCCAAGAACTTGGAGCCATCTTTTGCTATATTTCTAGCTCATTAGCTTGATGCCTGATTGGAAGTGGAGCAGTAGGAGCTAGAACCAGTGTCAATATGGAATGAGGGTGCAGCAGGGGCAGATTAGCTTACTGAGTTTTCCTATGCCTTTATTCACTAAGTTGATGATGGGCACAGTAGGGATCTAGGCTCTTCATGCAACCCAATGTTGTTACTGAGATTCACATTATACAAGTCTGTCTCTTCAGGGAAGGTCTGGTGTATAAACGACTCAGCTGTGGTTGTTCTAAGTATGCCTGGCTCACAAATCCCCATCATGAAAAGAGCCTGGCTCCAGAGTTATGAAATTGGTGCTAGCTATATTTGCTGCATGGAAATAGAAACTTCTCTAATTGAGGCCTATATCCAGCTCAGCGATATTGGAAATAATATTGGCTGGAAAAATTGGTACTAATAGATAATGCCCAAGGGAGTGGTTTGATATGTGGCAATGATTTTGGCTCTGTTACAATGGAAAAAAAAACTTTATGTGGAACAAATTCTTTGTGTGCAGTTTTAGCTTAGAACAAAGTATGGTAGTTGGACCGGGGATTTTCAGCTAATTTTCTGGGGTGGAGCAATAGTCCAGAGTGCTATCTGATAAGACCGTAGTGGAGCTCCTCTGTCTAGAGTCAGTGGAGAGAGAGTTGTGCGTTCTGAGTTCCTACTCTAACAAACATGTGAATAGTATTGTTAGTACTGAATCATCAGTTTGCACTCTCTCACTCCACTTTGAAATCTGTCCCTGTGTTTCGTGACCCATGAGCCTTGCTATTAGAATAAACAGGTGACAAAATCAGGAATTTCTCAAGTGATTCTCAGTGGGAAATTTATGGAGAAGAGTATGGCCTTAATACCAATAGAGCATCTTATTTTAAGAGTCTTTGGGGAGGTCTAACACAGCTCTCCCGAATCCATTGTCCACTGAAGTAGAAAGGAATACATAGACCTTGGCTCTGTGGTCACATCTGTCCTGTTAGGTACAGTTGTGCACTGGTCTTAAAGCCTGAAATGGGCTGTGGAAGCTTTTTTCTTGGCAGTTAGGCTTCCTGGGCCCTTTTGATTCTAAGCCATCAAGATGACCTTAGCAGACTGGAGCAGGTGAGAGAGACAGATGTTACCACTGCTCGTGGCAGCAGCATTGACAGTGTACTTGTGCTCTCTTCCAGCTGGGTTATGGAGTTCCTGTGCTGTTCTTTCACAGCACTGATGAGGTCCTTGACTCTTATGAAG